TATATCTGCTTGACTGGCTAATTCAACTTGCAGTTAAAGTTTATATTACGGTTAATTGCTGGTGTCTCTGTTTTATAAGATACCTACTACCAGAGGCATAGCCAGAAATTTTTTATAAGGGTGGCCAGGCAATAACCATCGTACACTGAGGGGTGGCCAAAAGCAGATAGGCACCAGAACTTCAGGGTCAATCTACACTGTTCCAACAGGAAAATTAACTAGCAAAACATCTATATTTTGTAAATAAAGACAAACTATACTTTCCCACAGCCTTTGCTAACAAATAGACGCATATATTTAAACATCCGTCTAGATAAAATTTATAGTTGATAAAACTCAGTTTTGAGTTCTGGGGCGTAAATTAATCATCATTGTCATTACTAACCTACTTGTATCAATAAACATTCTGCATTAAATTGATATTTATAAGCACTAATATCTACATAAATTGATTATTTGATAAGTTTTTATTAAAATTGTTATTTATCTTTGATTTCATTGAAGACTCCTAGATTACTTGCAGAGACACATAATTTTTTCTTTAACCCATAAAACACAAAATCTAGTTCGGAAAAGAGCATGAATTCTGTACTTGTCATCTTTGATGTTAGTATATTGATGTGTATAATTAACCAAAAAAAAAAAAAGTTTTGAATATTCCACTTGAGAGTATTACTGCCACCATCTGTATTAGAGGGGGAAAATGGTAAGGGTGGCCTGGCCCCCCATCTAGCTCCGTCCCTGATACCTACAACCATGTTAGTAAATACTTATAAAGTTGAGTTTCCATTAATTTGGTTTTTAAATAAAGTAACCGGAAAACTGTAGTCACCATCTGTATATCAAGCTATCTTTATAAGATCACAGATCTTGGAAAATTTCCTGACTTAAAAAAAAGGAATAATAACTCAGAGAATGTAACTAAAAAGCAAAAAGAAAAATTGGTTTATTCATTTATTGTTGGTGATTGGATAAATCATTATGAAAACAACAAAGATTTACATAACCTGCATACTTTGGCTGAAAAACACAGAAAATGTGGTACATCTGGGTGTTGCTATAGTAACTAAGCCTCACCTCCTCTGCTCTGGCTTGATGGTGGTATGATCAAGCTAGGATCATACCATCAAGCCCAAGGAGGAGAGGGGGGTTCTGTTGAAAATAGGAGGTGTGATTCTGTAAAAGGAAACGTTCTGGTCCCATAAATTGTCTAATCCTGAAAGCTCTAATTTATTTCGTTGTCTTCTTGCAAATATTTTAACATTATTAGCTGTTTATCTGCTATTACCGATGCAGCACTTCTTTAAAACAACCCCTCTCATTATAATAATGCTTGTGTCTCCTCCCACAAGCAGTCCCGTTTGTTTGACAACAATATCTGGCTTGTATAACTGCCTCAGATAGCAAGGTATTGATTTTTATTTCTAGGAAGAAAAAAAAAGCGCTTTTTAAAACTCGGCTCAAACTGAACTCTGGTCCTTTTCCACTCGCTGAGCTCAAAATGAGGGTCGGAGTTAGCTGCTGCCCGCTAATCCTCTGCCTGATCCTGGCCTCTGTACTCGGGCTCGGCGAAGACCTCGACCGGCCTCTGTTCGGGCCTCCCGGTTCTCCTATCCGGCTCCATGAGTCCGACCCGGAGCTGAAGAAGGTTCTGCTTTTCGCAGAGGAGCGATACAACCGGGGCTCTAACGCCATGCATCTCCGCAAAGTTAGCCGAGTCGTCACTGCCACAAAACAGGTAAAAACCTAAAAATGGTTGTTTTATTTATTCCATACATGACATCTATGAAACAATTTTCATTTATGACATCAGTATATTCCTCTTAATAAGTTATTATACCACCATATGAGTCAGTTTAGTGTTATAACATGTATGTAAACACAGGGGCGGAGCAAGATGGGGGGCCAGGGGGGGCCATGGCCACCCTTACCATTTTTTTCCACCTCAAATACAGATGGTGGCAGCAGTAATACTCTCAAGTGGAATAATTATTTTAATTTTTCATGTATCACTTTCTATTTTTTCATATATTCATAATTACTTGACAACAAAAACACTGGTTAATTATACACATTGATATACTAACTTTAAAGATGATAAATACAGAATTCCTGCCCTTTTCAGAACTAGATTTTGTGTTATATGGGGTAAAGAGAAAATTATGCTTCTCTACAAGTCATCTAGGAGTATTCAGTGAAATTATAGATAAATTAACTAATTAACTAATCAATTTATGTAGATATTAGTATATGTAAATATAAATTTTATGCAGAATAATTGTTAAAAGTAGGTAAATAGGAAAAGATGTTCGCCCCACAACTCAAACCTGAAAGAATTTTATCCACTATGGCCTTTATCTAGGAAGCATGGAGGTTTAAATATATGCGTCTATTTGTTAGCAAAGGCTGTAGAAAAGTATAGTTTGTCTTAACTTTGGCTTGACCGGGCGTGCAGTGGTTAGCGTGCACGACCCATATACGGAGGCCTTAGTCCTCGGCCCAGGCGACCCGGGTTTGAATCCGGCCTGCGGTCCTTTGCATGTCTCTCCCCCTCTCTCATACCCCCTTTCCTGTCAACCTACTGTTGAAAAAACCAAGCCACTAGTACAAAAAAAAGCTTGAGATTCTGGCGCCTATCCACTTTCGGCCTCCGCTCAGTGTACATTGGTTATTGTTTGGCCACCCTTATAGAAATATTCTGGCTACACCTCTGTGTAAACAACAGATAGATGGTGTTAGTGCTGAGAAACTTTGGCCAAATTTAACAGATTCTGGATGAAAGTATGGGTCCGCGCTTTCAAAATAAAAGCACAAACTTCACAGAAAAATGATTGACGTACACTTCAAAAAGCCTTTTTTTCTCAAATTAAATCGTTGTAATTCTTCTAATTATTTTTTGAATTGAATAAAGGTACTGACATGTTGAGTCCTACAATAGTCAGTATTCTAAGCTCTGTCTCTGACCGGAAGTGAAAATGTGAGCGATTGCAGATGTTTGGGAGAAGAGATGCAAACAGCTCAATTAATTTCTGAAACTTCTGCTGAAAACTAAATATTTCTGTTAATTTCTGTGTTTTCGCCTGTTTTTTAGCTGGTGAAGGGAATTCGCTACACTATAACTCTGGAACTTAGCAACACCCAGTGTAAGAAATCCTCCATGCTGAGGACCTGTGACTTCTATCCTGATCCTCAGAAACTCAAGGTAGGATCTGTTTTTGTGGGGAAGTGACTCATATAGTTGTTTATTCATTTGTTGTTGCTGCAGCGCCTGTGTGTTCAGCGGAAATGTCATCACGCATCCAGTCTTGTGACATGAATTTGACTGGCAGTGAACTTGCTGAAATCCTGAGACTTAAAAAAAAAACAGCTTCTTCTGCTTCTACTGTTCAGTTTTTACCCAACATTGAAAAACAAACAAAAGTCTTAATCAAAGAGTAACACAGTCACACGCTCTCAGAGCTGAAGACAAAACTTAATAACTTCCTCTGTTTCTTTGCTTATTTTAGCATCTGCAGGATAGCATAGCAAACATGTGATTCTGATGCTATCGATGTCCTCTTATCTCCTTGCTCCACATGTGCTCCTGAATCAGACTGAGGTGTGTGTGTTTGAAGTTTGGGACATTCCCTGGCAGGCCACCACCACCCTCCTCAAACAGAAGTGCCAGCCTAAAGGTCAGTCAGCAACCAGACAAGCTAATCATGCTACTTTTTAAAGCCCCTCTTTTCTCTCTGGCTGCAATATTCTAAAGCTAATTGTAGTGTTTGTTGATCCACACGTCCGAGTTAAGTTTAAGCACATTAACACATGTTTAATTCATGCGGCATGTAAAAAGTCCTATTGATTTGCTCTGACAGCCACTTTCTGCTTGGAGTCGTTATATAACTGGGATGTTTACCATCTGGTTCAGTTTATACAAAATGAGCAACAGGTCTATGTTACATGTTTGCTTCCATCATGCTACAGTTGTTCCTTAGTAGTTTAAATTTTGAACTAAAATCTAGTTTAGGCTCATGAAACTATAGAAGAAATATAGTCTAAATGGAATTACAACT